TCGCCATGACGCTGAATGGCTCACACGCCAACACCTACAATCATGAATTTCAGAAACTACCTTTTTTCTACTGATCTTCATCATGTTCATAACTAACTTCATACCGTAGATCTAGTACTAGCACGTACAGGTTCCTGCACGAGTATGAGGGCAGTACCGCGGAATCCAGCCCGCGCCGCGATAGCGGCAAGGGTTGGATGAGCAGCGGTACTGACCGAGTATGAGTGACTGGAACGTGTTTCCCGTGTGCACCCAAGCCAAGGAGATCACTCACAATCTTTGACGTTTGAGTTTACATGAACCATTCTGTGACTCGACTCGAGTCCTGTAATGACTGCTGTGACTCTGTGTGAGCTGAGTGAGACTGAGAGTGACTTCGACAACCGTACACGGACTACAGTACATGACTTTTGCATGTACTTTCAGACCACAGAAGCTGAAATGGTAGACTCATGAGTGGATTTTGTCCACTGCCCGTCGTCAAGTGACGACGGGCAGTGGATTCTGTCCACTGCCCGTCGTCAAGTGACGACGGGCAGTGGATTCCGTCCACTGCCCGTCGTCACTTGACGACGGGCAGTGGAACTAGTTCCATCACCATTCATCAGGCAGGATCGCGCTTTCCAGCCCGCGTAATTTGATCTGTTATTGGTCGACTCCAAGGCGACAGTCATGTGACATACGGTAACGCCCTTTTCGAATAGAAAAATGACAGGTCGCACACTTTCTGGATGTGTACATACTGTGCATGCAGTGCATGTGCTAGATGATGATAGTACTAGTAGATCGCTTCAGCAAATGCCAAATGAGCGTGTTTAGGTGTAGATCTACAGTACAGTCAGTGTACATGGTGTATGTGCCTGTGTTTGGAGATCAGCCTTGCACTGCATGCATGCAGGCTACTCAGAGGTGTCAAGTGTCACATCACCATCATCAAACTGTGTACTAGTGGGAACACGACAGGTCACCGCGAGACAGCTCACAGCGCGACAACTCACAGCCGACAGCTCACAGTGTCGTCAACTCACAGCCAAGACAACTCACAGCGCGACAACTTACAGCCTCGTCAACCCACAGTGTCGTCAACTCACAGCCTCGTCAACTCACAGTGTCGTCAACTCACAGCGAGACAAGTCACAGCCAAGACAACTCACAGCCACACCAACTCACAGCGCGACAAATCACAGCCACACCAGCTTAGCAGTGTGGTTACTTTTCTGCTTCTGATATCACCCTGATGCCATTGCTGGAACATGCTCTGGCTATAAAAGCTCCGGGTATTCGAATACGTAACACAATTCTTCATTACCATTAGCAATAACAATTATAATATTAAAATCATCTACAAAACGTTTTGTCTACGCATGCATCTACGCAAGAATCACCACCAGTCAATTAGGACATGTGTCAAAAGTATTGAATGTTTTCGTTCCCTTCTTCTCAAAATACTACAGGGAATGATGGAAATAAGCTAAACGACTACAACTATAAGGAAAAGAAGTTCAGAAATACATCACTCCAATTATGTCACTTCTACACATAATTGGAGTGATGTATTTCTGAACTTCTTTTCCTTATAGTTGTAGTCGTTTAGCTTATTTCCATCATTCCCTGTAGTATTTTGAGAAGAATTCAATACTTTTGACACATGTCCTAATTGGCTGGTGGTGATTCTTGCGTAGATGCATGCGTAGACAATACATTTTTTTTAATATTTTCTGCTTCCGTCCTAGTTTCAAATATCAACTACATTCTTCATTCTGTTTTATCCGGGAAATCATTGAAGGTTCTTACTTATTGTTGGAAACATTTGTATAGGTTATTATTTCTCGATTAAAAAATAAGAACGCTGCGAGTTGCCTCGCTGTGAGTTGTCGACACTGTGAGTTGTCGACACTGTGATTTGACGACACTGTGAGTTGACTACACTGTGAGTTGTCGCGCAGTGAGTTGTCTAGGTTGTGAGTTGTCTTGACTGTGAGTTGACGACACTGTGAGTTGTCTCGCTGTGAGTTGTCTCGCTGTGAGTTGGCGCGCTGTGAGCTGTCTCGCTGTGACCTGTCGTAGACCCAGTAGTACCTGGCCAGCTTTTACAGTACACCACCGTGTGGAGGAAGTCTAGCCTCTAGCCTAGGTCTGTTTATGTCATAATATGTACGTGTACATGTCATTCATTGTTCTTGTACTCAGTAGACGCAGTATTGTAATTGCATGCCATTCACTTTGTCTATGACATTCATGTGCATACCATGGAAGTCATGTGCATAGACATGGATATGCACACTATTAGTATTACTATTAGATCGACACGGAAAATGTGCGATAAGACTTTCAAATAGAGGGGGGGGGGGGGGGGGGTAGGGGGGTAAGTCTATTCGAAATGCGTTACGTTTACAAAAAAAGTGCGAACTATTACTTATGTCAGTATGAGATGCTCCCTAAATATCCGACCACTTCGGGAATCAGGCGTGTTGGATAACTGAATATGTTGGATAACTTATATCATTTTTTATGTGCATATACATGTACATGTACATGTATGGCTGGACTTCACTGATTTATGTACACAATGCCCAAAATTTAATATATTCATGCATATTCCATGTACACATACATGTACATGTTAGCATACTTGACCACATCTACTTGAAGTAAATGCATATTTAATATAATATATTATTATTAAATGCAATATACAAAAAAACAAAAAAAGTTATTTATTTTTAGAATTTTACTGTTGAGAGGCATAAAATTACCACTCCCGGGCTTGTCGGATAACCGACGTGCTCGGATAACTGGCGACCGGATAATAGTCATGGCCCAAATTTGCTCAGCCCACATCGATATTTTGCTGCACAATTTTGCCACAAAATTTTCGATATTCTGCTTGGCATTTCCTTTTTCCGTCGGTATTTTGCTTTGATTTTGCTCGAGAAAAAATGAGTTTCAAGGAAAACTCAACGATAATTTTCGCTGATGACGAGGGAATTTTTGATTGAGCTCCTGCTGCTGCTCCTTTCTACCAAAAATAAATGTGGCCATGACTCCGTAGGCATCGGCGGCTAATGCTAGCATTATCTAGCATTATACAATGATTATGTAGGTGTTTTGGTAGCAGTGCTCGGCATTAGGTGGCATGTTTTTGGCTGGAGAAAGCATTATCAGTTCTATTTTGGTACAATACAAGACTTTTTACACGTCTTTTCACATGACAAGAGGCTTGTACAGACAGTGTACCGACACTCTTGCGTCGCTCTTCCGACAGTTGCGTGTTTTCGTGTGGTCATGCATTCCCATTATACAACTACACTTCCTTATCTCAGTATGAGCCAATTGTGGATACTTTTCTTTCGCAAGGCGAGAGCGGACATCAGCACAGGCAAGACCATCCGAGGAGAGCACAATGCCAAGGTAGGTGAATTGGTCCACCACCTCAATCGTGTCTGCTCCGACAACAACGTCACGGCGATCACCAGACTCACCCACAGCCATACCCTTGGTCTTTCTCTCACACACACACACACACACACACACACACACACACACACACACACACACACACACACACACACACACACACACACACACACACACACACACACACACACACACACACACACACACCGACACACACACACACACACAAACACACACACACACACACACACACACACACACACACACACACACACACACACACACACACACACACACACACACACACACACACACACACACACACACACACACACACACACACACACACACACACACACACACACACACACACAAACACACACCACACACACACACACACACACACACACACACACACACACACACACACACACACACACACGGAACACAGGGTGGATATGTTAGTAGTAGCAAGAGTCCAAAAACAGTTAATGGACTCTTGCTACTGAGCGGCCTGTATATCTCATCGATCATGATGTTTTCTGGACTCCTAAACTATAATTGATTGGTGTACGTAAAGTGAATGATGAAGGTGCTAGGTAGTGCTTGGCTGGTAATGCTTGAAACATTATTGCTAGTTTCTGCTCAGTGCTCAAAATGCAAAACGTTAATTTTGCACAATCACACAAAGCTAATTTTTATTTTCGTTTTTTGTTATCCTCTCCCATGCCGTTGTACATAAGCGGCTTGCCGCGAATATGTCTATACTACTACACAAAAGCTAATGCTAGCTACTGTGAAAACTTTCGCCCGACATTGTATATGTTTCGCTATTTTCACGACCAGCACACATCCGCGAATATAAATCGCCGGAACTACTCCGTAAATAATTGACTGTGGACAGAACAAGATCCTACTGAAGAGACTGAATTGCAAAAGTGTCTCACCGTGGACCAGCCCAATTCATCAAAACATTCAGTACGCAAATTTGCGTGCTGCAAAAGTTTATCTCTTTGCAGCAATTACGCCAATCTATTCCTAATAACAATCGTGTGAGAACGCTACAAATCATTAGCCTGCTGTTTAATATAATGTGCACTAGTACAGCCATCTTCGCTAATAATGACTGCGGATATAACGACAATTCGCGAATAACGACAGAATTTTCATGCCCAGAGCAAAGTCCACTCCAACTGGAATGCATATAATGAGACTTCGGGTATAACGACACTTCGCGAATAAGGACACTTTTCTGATGCCCCGCCGAGTGTCGTTATAAGTGAAGTTGACTGTATGTCGTGTTCTAAAGATGATGAAACAACGTGACGAAGTTGTGGCCTCTTAGTAAATTGCAACGCCTTGAGCCGGATAGGCCAGTTTCAGCAAATATCCCCGGCCCGGGCATTCCATAATTATAGTATTTCCATGGGCATTCAAGTGAACCGTGACTTCACAAGTTGGGACTTGGCACCATAAAGTTAGATGTTTGAGAATGTGCGTCCCCCCCCCCCCCCCCCCCCCCCAGAAAATACGCGTGCAATGCAATCTTGAAGACCGACTAAAACCTCTGCGGGGACTGACCG